ATGCTCTAATAAATTTGTTAGTCTCTAAAGTGCCACAAGTACTCCTGTTCTTCTTTTTGCGGATACAGACTAACACGGCTGTTACTCTGAAACAAGAGAGGTACGTGGATCTCACTAGAATTTAAAATGAAAAGGAAGGGAGGGGAGGCTCTGGACCTGGGCAGCTTTAGTTACAGTACCAGGCACGTAGGAGGATTTCCACTTCTAAGCCATGGAAGCAGAAATTGACTTTTCCTTTCCAGATATAGCTAATATTCAGAAAGGGAATCTAGCACCTGCCTTCCGGATTTGAACACCTCAAAATTCAGGAGTGCTCAAGCTCAATTTGGGCAGCTGTTACTTCATTTCCCCCAAATCAAATATACTGATCCACTGTAACTTCCTGTAGAAAAAGTAGGATAAAATTGAGCAAGAAATGCTTCCCAGTGGTTATTAGGACTGGAATTGCTATTTTCAACAGCCATTGCCTTTTTGTTTGTTTGTTTGTGTAAAAGGAAGACAGTGATATTGCATTGGCAAATTCCCCATAGAAACAAAGAGTGGAACAAAAGAATAATAAAGGCACCTCAAGGTTTCTTCATTTATGTAGGACAGTCTTATAATATGCATCCAGATATCCTCCAATCACACAAGCTGAAAATTGTTCCACTTTACTGCAGTTCTGTAACCATATGGGAACCAATCCTGTCTGTGTTCTGTGCCCATCCAAAATTCCTGCTGAATGACCCGCCCTGGGAGCGAGTTACCAGTGACCCAGGGCTGGGGCGGCAGGATGTGCAGTTTGGGGGAGAGAGCCCAGGGGTTGCAGGTGGGGGGGCAGAGCTGGAGTGGCAGAGGGTGCGGCGGGGAGCCCAGGGCTGGGGTAGGGGGTAGCCAAAAATGTTTTTGCTTGGGGCAGCTAGAGCCGCCCGTGCCCCAGGCAGGAGGGAGTTGAGATGAAAATCTGATACGAAAGCTCTAACGTCTGCTCCTCTCTTCCCATCGCTCCAAGTTCCCAGCATTAACTCCAGCACTGAGTACGAGAGAATCAAAGTGAGGTGCAGGAATTTCTCTCTGCAGGTACGTTTGAACCCATCATTCATTTGCTGGGAATTTTGCCCTCTGGTTTTTACCACCAATATGGAAATTCCCAGACAAAAGCCTTTGCTGTTGGTATTACGGTGACTCCTGTAAACCCCATCCAAGATCAGGGCAATACTGTATTTGTTCCTTTCATTGCTGGGACTCGATCTTCCTCATCCTTCTAGGCTCGTCCCATCTACATGTGATCAGCTGTTCAAGTCCTTCTCCATCGCAGTTTGTCTTGAAGCAGTTCCTCGGAAACTCTGCAGCTCATCAAATCCTTTTGTGTGACAGTCACCCACCTAGTTTGGGGTCTCCCACTCCTCTTATCTTCTGCACCTTGTTTCCTGTTTGTTTTCTGACCTTTTCACACACCCACACCCAGGACCGGCTTTAGGCCGATTCAGGCGATTCGGCTGAATTGGGCCCCGCGCTAAGAGGGCCCCGCGCCGCAGCTCTCCACCCTGCCCCCAGCTCACTTCCCCCTCCTCCCCTCCCCTGAACGCTCCGCCCCCTGCTACTCCCCCGCCCCTGCTTCCCGCGAATCAGAGGTTCGCGGGAAGTCTGAAAAGAAGCAGGGGCGGGCAGGCAGCACCAGATAACCCGGGATGGTGGGGGGGGCACGAGAAGGGCTCCGGGGGGGGCACGGCCTAGTCTGGCCCTGGTTCCGGCCGAGTGCGCCGGCCCGCGGCGCAGCTCTGGCCCAACCCGCGGCGCGGCTTTGGCTCCAGCCCCCTGGCCCCCACGGCGCGGCTTCGGTTCCAGCCCGCCGGCCCGGCCCCCGCGGCGCGGCTTCAGCTCCGGCCCCCCGACCTGGCCCGGCCCCCGCGGCGCGGCTCGGCTCCGGCTGCCAAGGGGCTCTGGGCCGGACCCAAGCCCGGTGAACACGGCCAGAGTTCGGCTTGATTCCTGGGGGCGGGGCTTGCTGCAAGCCCCGCCCCCAGGAATCGGGCCCCGCTCTTGCTAAAGCCGGCCCTGCCCACACCATCTGAGCCTGGTTCCCTCAGCTTTTCTATCATTAGTCCTACTTTCACTCTTCCCCTAATTCCCTCATTTCAAACTTGTAACTCCAAGGATCCATCTTAACATTTTCACTTCCTCTGTCTTCAAGAATAGCCCCTGGCTCTTCCTCAGTCCCTGGCTTTCGGAGCCATACAAAAGTGCAGGCCTGATCACCGTCTTCTAGATCTTACTTTTCTGTTTGGCAGGCGTTCGCCTATGGCAGAGCACTCCCTCGCTTCTCTCCCTTCACTCCAGGCCTTTCCCAGTCTGCTTATAAGTTTTTTGTTGCGTTCATCTTTTTCTTGTACTATCATAGAATTGTAGGCACGGAAGGGACCTCGAGAGGCCATCTAGTCCAGTCCCCTGCAATCATGGCAGGACCAAGTATTATCTAGACCAGAGGTGGGCAAACTACGGCCTGCGGGCCACATCTGGCCTGCGGGACTGTCCTGCCCGGCCCTGGAGCTCCTGGCCGGGGAGGCTCACCCCCAGCCCCTCCCCTGCTGTGCCCCCTCCCCCACAGTGATGCTGCCGCACGGGTAGCACAGCTTGCGCCCGCGCACCTCCCAAGCTTTCCAATAAGCCTGTCTTGCCACTCTGAGCGGCGTGGTAAGGGGGCGGGGGGAGGAGGAGCTGGATAAGGGGCAGGGGGGTCCAGGGGGCAGTCAGGGGATAGGGGGCAGTTGGATGGGGCGGGGGGTTGGGGGGATCCTGGGGAGGGGGGGACAGGGGAGAAGGGGGGGGTTGGATAGGGGGGTGGGGTTCTGGGGGGGCAGTTAGGGATGGGGGTCCCAGGAGGGGG